AAAGGGAATAGACCCTTCTAGAAATAGAATCACCATGCGTATAGCCACGCGAGGCTATTGGCTTTAAGGGATTACGGCAGGATTACGCTAGATATAGCGCGCCAGTACATCCCGAGCCTAGTCGGTGATATAACTATAATAACAGGATAAACCAAAGGATAATGGAAAAGGAGGAATAGGAAACCAAATGAGATGAGATAAAGACCAAATGAATCAGGAGTGAAAGAGGAATGAAATAGAAAGGAAATATGGAAAGGGGAAATTGGTGTAACGGGGTCGTACTCTCACAGGCGGGGCGAGTGGGGCCAGAGGGGCGCACGGGGCCAACGAGGCGCTAACGGGGCCGAGAGGTGGCCAACGAGGCGCTAAGGGGGGCCAGAGGGGCGCACGGGGCCGAGAGGGCACTAGCGGGCCAGCGGGGCACTAATGGGCCGGCGGGGCGCATGGGGCTGACGGGGCGGTAACGGGGCCGAGAGGGCGCACGGGGCCGACGGGGCGCTAACGGGGCCGCGAGGGCGCACGGGGCCGACGGGGTGCTAGCAGGGGCGTGAGGGCGCATGGGGCCGACGGGGCGCTAACGGGCCTACGGGGCTAACTGTTAACGTGAATGAATGATGAACACAAGTGGAACAAGGGAGATGTATGTATTCTGGTTGTACCCTCTAACAACATACAACTATCTAGCCTATAACTTCTACATAGCAACATATGTATAAGTTGACACACCCCCTAGGCTAGATAAGGGGTAGTGCAGAGCAAGAAACACACAGTTAGCAATAGTACAAACAAGACAAGAGAAAACCAGGGCAGCACTACTAGTCCGACCACTGGAAGAGTAGCCACAAGGCCAGTCTGGAAGGCATAAATATACAGGAGAACACAATCAAGGTCCAAGCAAGTGAGAGTCTACAGGAACTAGACCAAGTCGCAAACAGTGCCGCTGATGATCTTTAAGCGCAAGTGCCTTAGTAAAGATATCAAGTGTGTTGGCATCGGAGGCCAAGTGTACTACGCGGGCCTGGCGACGATGCTGTAGCTTGCACAGGAGGAAGTACCGCAGCTGGATGTGCTTCGCTCTGCCCTCAAGTCGAGGCTCCTGACACAGGAGGATCATTGCCCAGTTGTCAGCGTACAGGACCGAGGCAGAGCTAACTAACCTAAGTCGGCGAGCAAGAAGGTCAGCCAGCGGAGCTCTTGTGCCGCCACGGCACCAGCGTAGATCTCAGCCTCACAGCTAGACTGGGCAACACACGAGGAGCGGGTGGACCTCCACGAGACAGCACCAGAACCAAGGCTAAAGCAGTGGCCCAAAGAGGACCTGAGGGTCTCAGCGCCGTCTGCCCAAGAAGCGTCTGTGTGCCCAGTAAGGACCACTAGCCTACGTCCTCCCGGCACTAGCCCCATGCCCGATGTACTCGCAAGATAGCAAAAAAACCCTCTTAGCAGCCGACTAGTGCTGTGGTCGGTGTCTGCCTGTGGCCACAAAGCGAGCCAGGATGGTGAGAGGGTATGCGAGATCTGGACGAGTGCAAGTCATCATGTACATCAGGCAACCCACCAGCTCTGCGTAAGGACCACTGGGCTCTGCTGACTCCTCGGGAACTGGAGCTGAGAGCCTGTGGTCTACTGGCAGAGGTGTGGGTTGTGCGGAGGAGAACTGAAGACCGAACCTCTGAAGGACCTGGCGCACCAAGTGTGACTGTGTAAGAGTGATGGTGCGTACTGCTCTGTCCCTAGAGATCTGTAGGCCAAGGAAGCGGCGCAGCTCTCCCAGGTCAGTGCAGGTGTGTCTCCTCAGCAGCTCAGCATTCACGGAGGCCAGTGCGTCTCTGTCTGCAGTAGCGAAGACCAGGTCGCCTACGTAGACAAGAATGTAGAACGGAGTCTGGCCAGAACGAACGAAGAGCGAAGGGTCTGCAGCGGACGGAAAGAACTGCAAGTCAGCTAGCATAGCACATGGGGAGGACGAGACGGTGCGTCAGTGGCAAGCGCGGCAAGCGGCGTGAGGGTGGCGTGGTCGGGGAAGTAGCATGCTGACGCACCGGAGTCAAGAGTGAAGGACATCAAAGCCATAGTGGCAGACGAAGGAGGAGCAAGTGTAGAGCCTAGGCTAGACAAAGCAATCCGTCCTACGCCTGACGCAGCAGGGGAGTCTGGACTACACAGAGGTGCTACGCCTAAGCTAGAGAACACATGGTAATAAGATCCGGAAACACTCGAAGCGTCAGCATACAGAGAATGCAGGGCAGAACTAATCTGACCCATGTCTAAGTCAAACACAGGCACACCATGGCGCAGCAGACTGAGTGAGTCAGGGAGGTTCGGGGCTAGACCGAAGCGGCGACGGAAGAGGTCGTCAAGGCAGCGGAAGCAGCGCGCGGTCGGGTGCGGGCAGCGGCACATACTGCCACGGAGGGGACCAGTCTGGAGTTGGTACTAGCAGCCCACAGCACCGCAGCTGCCAGTAGGCGCCGAGCTGTGAGGACCGCAACCACGACCACCACCTCCAGGGGCTCATGGCCACCCCGACGAGAGGCGAGCCCACGTCTCCTGCTGCTGCGGCGGCGGCTGCTGCTGTTGCTACGGCGGCTGCGACGACTACTGCTGCTGCGTCTGCGACGACTGGTGCTGCTCCTGGACACCAGCTCCAACCCCCTCGTCAGAACCACTGTCCCCGCTACCACCACCAACGCCACCACCACGTCCTCCCTTGGGGCCACGGCGGCCCCGGCGCTGGCGCTGCTGCGGGTAAGCCGCAGCTGCTGTCTCAGTGGCAGGGGCAGTTGTGGCAACTGTGGCTGAGACGTCAGCGTACGTGCATTGGGAGGGAGCACAGCCCTGAAAGATAGGGACTGCCGCAACACCGCTCGACTGAGCGATAGTGCGTTGGCGAGTCTCTATCTCAGACAGAGTAGTAACAAAGGCGGTCAGGGTGAGGTCGGCAGGGTGCTGACTAAGGAAGTGGTCGCGGGCAGTGGCTATGCGGTCACGCAGGCGCATGGCAATGAGGTATAGGGTAGCGCAGAACGGTGGGGGGAAGGCAGTGAGCTGGGCGGCAGTGCTAGCAGCACGGTAGCTAGTCTCTACTGCACGGAGGTGAGTAGCAAGGTCAGCTACAGTAGGGAAAGCGGAAAGATCAGGGAAGAGCATGGGTAGGATCAAGCAGCCAGCAGAGGCAGAAGCAGGTGTGGAGTAGCGCTCAACTACTGCAGCAAGGAAGTCCTTGGCGTTCGCTACAGCGGTGAAGCGCGGACGGTCAGACAGGGGAAGGGCATGACTAATGGCAAGCTGCGCTACAGCATCGCGAGAATCCCAAACAGCGTGAGCGAGCGCTGCAGCAGCAAAGGCCTCGCTCTCAGCACCGGTGGGATCAGGCGCAGAGGGGCGGGGAAGCAAGCCATCAACATGCATAGCCACGGAGTGCCCATCTTGGCACTGACCTGTCAGGTGTCGGCGGAGGTCGACGAGCCAGGCGGCGAAGTCGATCGCGTGCCCCTCAACGTCCAAGCGAAGAACGACGTCCGCCATCGCACAGTGTGACAGTGGCACAGCGGCACAGGAGGACGGCAGATCTGCGGCTCGGCGGTTCAGCGGCACAGTGACACGGCGGCTCAGCGGCTCGGCGGTAGGGCGCTCCAGCAGGGAAACAGGGCAGGAGGCCAAGGAGGGCCGGAGGCGTGCAGGGCCGGTGGGGCGAGAAGGGTCGGCGGAGCGCTAGTGGCCAGGAGAGCGCGTTTGGAGGCGGGGAGGTGACAGGCGGGCGCATGACTAGGAGCGACGGGCCCGCTAGGGCTCAAGGGGCGGGCTACTACTCGAGAGGCCAGCGAGGGCGTGAGGAGCCAGCTAGGGCGCAAGGGGCCGACGAGGGCGCTAGGGGCCAGCTAGGGCGCAAGGGGCCAGGAAGGGTGTGAGGGGCCGGCTAGGGCGCAAGGGGCCGGCGACGCCGCGAAGGGCCAGTGAGGGCGCGAGGGGCCAGCGTGGGCGCGAGAGGCTAGCGCGGGCGCGAGGGGCCAGCGGGGGCGCGAGGGGCCGGCGCGGGCGCGAGGGGCCGGCTTGGGCGCAAGGGGCCGGCGACGGCGCGAGGGGCCAGCGAGGGCGCGAGGGGCCAGCGTGGGCGCGAGGGGCCAGCTAGGGCGCGAGGGGCCAGCGTGGGCGTGAGGGGCCAGCTAGGGCGCAAGGGGCCGACTAGGGCGCAAGGGGCCCGCTAAGATGCGAGGGGCCCGCTAAGACGCGAGGGGCCAGCTAGGGCGCAAGGGGCCGACAAGGGCGCGAGGGGCCCGCTAAGGCGCGAGGGGCCGGCTAGGGCGCGAAGGGCCAGTAGGGGCGCGAGGGGCCGACTACAGCGCGAGGGGCCGGCTACGGCGCGAGGGGCCGGCTAGGGCACAAGGGTGCGGTTGGGGCGCGAGGGGCCGGCTACAGCGCGAGGGGCCGGCTACAGCGCGAGGGGCCGGCTACGGCACGAGGGACCAGCGAGGGTGCGAGGGGCTGGAGACGGTGCGAGGGGCCGACGAGGGCGCTAGGGGCCCGCTAAGGCGCGAGGAGCCGGCGACGGCGCGAGGGGCCGTCTAGGGCGCGAGGGGCCCGCTAAGGCGCGAGGAGCCGGCTAGTGTGCGAGGGGCTGGCAAGGGCGCGAGGGGCTAGCGAGGTGCGGTAGGCTAGGGCGCGGGGCGGAAGCGGGTGGGTGTTCCTTTCTACTCATGATACCATGTTAACGTGAATGAATTATGAACACAAGTGGAACAAGGGAGATATATGTGTTCTGATTGTACCCTCTAACAAGATACAACTATCTAGCCTATAACTTCTACATAGCAACATATGTATAAGGTGACACTGTTAAACTAAGCTGGGTAGGAGGGAAGCCATGGAATAGCGTAAGGTTTAGGAAGGAGAAAGTTGAGGAGAGAAAAGAGAGAGAGGCTAGGAAGAGAGAGGCATACAAGGAGGGAGTTGTACCCTCTACAGTAGAGTTCGATAAACCTACCGTAATCCCCCGGATATAACACCCTATGGTGGATATAATAATTCATTAAAAAAATGACTGGGTGTTAACAGTGGGCTGGAAAAATATAACGCCCATGTGTTATGTATAATTCATTTTGAATCTGATTGTTTCTAGGCTTATACATGCATTGGGTTTCTGTTAGGGAGTTTTGTGCTTTTTGGATGAGAGGATGGCCATGCCAACGTGTCGAACTCGGCATGGGCTATAGGATTTGTGGCCAATCCGTAACGGTCACAGCTGCCAACACCCAGCGGATTGCTGCCATCGGCTGCCAGCGCTGCGAGTGCACGGCTAGGTGCAGTAGATGCTGCCAGCGCAACACCTGCGATGGAATCTGGCATCTCAAGATGCCCTTGGGAAGCTTCTCGACCAGACCATCGCATGCTAGCATGCGATGGTCTTTTTTGGCTTTCAAGAACCGTGCGCGGCTCGGGTAGGGGGTCGGCCCACGTTTCTTGTTCATCCGTTTGTTGTCGCTGCGTCATTTTAGCGTTCCAGTACTGTCTTCCCAACAGAAAATCCCTCGCGATGTCGAACCTCTCTAACAGAGCCTCGGGCATAAGTCCGCCGAGGCGATTTTGTAGGCAGAGACTCAGCCATGGCGGCCCGTGCTGTTAGCGGCATCTCAGTTTTGCGAACCCATCGTCCACCCCACGGTAGTCAATTTCTTCTCCGTCCGTTTCCGTCGATTCCTCTAGCACCACCTGCGCCGCCAGCACCGCCTGCGCCTCCCGCGCCTCCTGCACCTCCTGCCCCACCTGCTCCTCCCGCACCTCCCTATACATCATGTCCGAGTGCAAGTCGTCCCGAGGAGTGGGACAACTACTGGCAGGACGATGATGAGCTAGACTGGGAAGATGCTGCCGATGGAGAGCCAGAGCCACCCCCGACACTTCCTCGTGTCATTGTTCCATCTTTCCCTCAGCCCATTCGTCGTCCCCACATGCCGCGAGCTAACCGGGATGCTGCACCTCCCTCCCCCAGACATCGCAGGACCAGCCGCAAGAGAGTCTCGCGCACAGCGGCGGAAAAGCTATACTGGTTGGCCCATCTCGACTCCGACCCGAAGCTTTCGAATCGCAAGCTGGCGAAGATGGCCGAGGTACAACCCTGTCAGATACGCGAGTGGAAGAAGAACAAGGCACGGCTGTCGGCGGCGGCGGGATGCAGGCGTCGTCTTATCGGTGCTGGACGCAAGGCGAAGTTCCCCGACATGGAGAAGGAGATGTACAACCGCTTCCTCTCACACCGTGCGCGCGGCTTGGCGGTGTCGGTGAGTTGTCTGCAGAAGTGGAGTAGGAAGTTCATGCGGAAGCGCCATCCCGGTGTCGACTGGCGTGCGTCATCCCGTTGGACCTTCCGGTTCCGCACGCGTTGGGGATTGACACGGCGCGTCAAGACAAAGATGGGCCAGCGCCTAACCAGCGGTGCGTTGTGTGCTTGATATGCAAGGTGTTTTGCAATTTCGCTTGCGGTTTCCCATTCATTGAGCTTTAAGAACTTAAGCATGTACACTCACATCGTTTATTGTCTTCTCGTTATGCAGATTGCGAGGCTAAAGTCGAGAAATTCTGGGAGTTCGTACGCCAGATGCGCACAGTCAACAAATATGACGACGACTTGATTATCAACGCCGATCAGATGCCCTTGTTCCTCGAAATGCCCCAAGAGACTACATTAGAAGTCCGCGGTTCAAGGACGGTACATGTTCGGACTGCTGGCTACGAAAAGGAGCGGTTGACCGTGATGCTGGCGGTCACTGCTGGCGGCCAAAAGCTGAAGCCGTATGTCATCTTCAGGCGCAAGACGCTCCCCAAGATTCGAGTCCCGCCAGGTTAGTATCGATTGGGTATTGATGTCAGTAAGTGTTTCATGTACCGGAGTTAGAAACTAACAGTAAGCTTTTTGGTTCGTTCATGATTGCATGCAGGAATCGTCCTCCGCGCACAGGAGAAGGGATGGATGGATGAGGACCACGTGAAGGACTGGATTACGACGGTCCTTGTCCCCTTTCTGAAGCGACTTCCTGCACGCCGTGGCGGGCGGCAGAAGGCTCTCGTTGTCCTCGACTCCTACAAAGGCCATCTGACTGAGGGGGTGGCGGCGTTGATGCGTCTATTCAAACTCTCACGTGCCGTCATACCTGGCGGCTGCACGCCAATCGTCCAACCTCTCGACGTAGCTGTGAACCGCTGCTTGAAGGCTCATGTCCGCCGGTCCTACTCAGGTTGGTTTGAGGAGTTCGGCTGCGACGCGACAACTCCCGCAGGTGATACCCTTCATATCCTTGAGCTCTGCTCTTCATACGTTCTTGTTTACCGTTTGCTTTACGACGCCTTGACGTGTTGCTCAAGTTCTCGCTTCGGTTTGCCTAATGCGCGATGTAATCTCCACCCAACCCTGTCCGCCCTTCAGGAAATCTGAAAAAGCCTCCGGCGGAGGTGGTGCCGCAGTGGATCGCGGCCGCCTGGGAGGCAGTCCCTACCGACCTCATCCGCAAGGCTTTCAAGACCTGCGGCATCTCCAACGACCTCGATGGCCTTGAAGACGACCTCATACTCGCCCACATGCGCAACAACGCGGAGCTGGAGGTCATGGACGATGTGCACGCGGAGGTTGAGACGACCGGGGAGAAGACGAATCCCCTCTTCGAAGCCGAGTTCGTAGAGCCGACCGCCGACGAGCTCTCCGAGGACGAGGAGTGTGACATCACTGTCAACGTCGACCTGCCGCAGCATGCACCGACACCTGGCGTCGATGTGGCGGAATCGTCTGCGATGGCGGAGGCTCGACTTAACGCTGCAGCAGCTGCAGCATCAACATCGACAACACCAGCAGTAGCTGCAACTGCACCTGAAGCGGCTGACACTACAGAGAGCAGCGATGTGGACTCCGCAGAGATGGCGCCAGCGGCGGAGGTACTTGCTGGACTGGCCGCCTCCCGATGGACTGAAGAGTACGATTGGGACGATATTGCATCCGACGATGATGATGTAGAGGCTTGGCACGCTGGAGATGAGGATGACGAGGAGTATTAGGTAGTGAATTATGTCTCTAATTTCTAACTGAAAGCCCTAGGACATGATCTAGGCCTTGCGCTACTCACTGGATGCTATTCTTGTAGGCAACAATGAGTAGGAATTCAAGCGTGTTGTAACGCTGCTGTAGTAATAGGATGCATATGGTAGAATATTCAATTGTTTTAGTGTACTCCAGGTAATAAAAATAGGGGGGGGGCGTTATGTAAAATTCGTCGCCTGAAAAGCGGGTACTCTAAAAAATGCACCATATCATAAGCTCCCCCCCGTATTAACCACCCATGGAGTGACTATTCCGGCGGGTGTTATATCCGGGGGATTACGGTACCAAGCCTACCAATTATATAATAAAATATATAATTTAACACACCCCCTAGGCTTGGTAGTCACAAGCCCACCCAACACACACACCTCCTAACCCCTTACACCCCCATGCTCGAGATCAGCCGGGTATCTACCCCTCGGGCTTGGCATGGTGACATCCCCCGGCGAGAGGCAGCGCGGGCAACGGCCATGGCTGAAGGCTCTCGGCGGTGTGGCACGGCGAGGCGACAATCGGGTAGAAGACAGCAGCTGCGGCAGGAGGAAGAGGAGATGCATGGGAAGGGGGGGGCGGGGGGGGGGGGGGGGGGGGGGACGAATCTTCATCGACGCGCCATGGGTGGCGCGGCACTTACTGGCGGGAGAGGGCGAATCTTCAACGAGGCACCATGGCTGGCGCGACGCTTACTAGCGTGAGGGCGTTACGACTGGCGCCTAGGACAGGGCGCTGGCCGCAGCTGTCAGTGCGCTGGCGTGGCGAAGCTGCCACGGCAGCACGACGGCACGGCGGCGCGCTGACACCGTGGCACAGCGGCATGGCGGGACGGCGAGACGGCGGCACTGAGGCACGGCTACGTGATGGGGCAGGCGCAGCGTGACGGGGCCAGCGCGGAGAGACGGGGGCAGCGCAGCATGACGGGGCCAGCGCTGCGTGACGGGGGGGGGGGAGTACGCTTCGGAAGCGTGAGGAGAAGGCCCGAGCGAAAAGGGCCTGCTCTGAAACCATGATAAACTAAGCTAGGCAGGAGGGAAGCCATGGAATGGCGTGAGGTTTAGGAAGGAGAAAGTTGAGGAGAGAAAAGAGAGAGAGACTAGGAAAAGAGAGGCATACAAGGAGGGAGTTGTACCCTCTACAGTAGAGTTCGATAAACCTACCAAGCTTACAAATTATATAACAAAATATATAATTTAACAGACACTAACAGGGCCGGCGAGGCGCACGTGGCTGACGGGGCGCTAAGGGGCGGCTAAGGCTAGGATGAGGGCGGAAGCATGGGCGGGCGGGGAGGACCTAACCTAGCGCATGATACCATCTCAGAGTAGAAACGTTAACTAGAATAAGGCATACATGCTGGTTTTGTTCAAGTGGTTGCACCCTATAAAAGCATGCACCTATCTAGCCTATGATAACATATACAAATATGTTTGACACGGAGAACTCCGGAAGGTCGAGCTAGAGGGTCTGGAGAAGCCGAGGCGGTTCTGTCAGGAACCGTCCCGAGGCTTTGGGTGTGTTCGAGCGTACGCGATAGCAGTACCGCTCGGTAAGGAATGGAAAATTCCTTGCAACTTGCTAGTTCCACTCGTGCTCTCATGTCGCTCTACTCATCATACATCATACTTCAAATATGCTTATTCCCCCTTCCTCTCAGGTCCGAGGGTGCTTTCAGCATGTGCGTGTAAGGGAATGTGTCAGGCAGCTGAGGGCCGTCAGTTCATGAGGCTGTATCGAAGGTCCGAAGGGAGCTACACCATCTCTCCAAGCAGCAAGGCAACTCCAAACTTCATCCCAGATCCCGAAGTATCCTCCCAGTCTCTCGGAGCAAGCCAAAACAAAACGAGCATTGTCTACGTTGTTCTCCCTCACTCACCTCCACCATCAACTCTCCCAGGGACGTCAACACTTCTTAGGTCGTCCTGCTCATCCACTTGGTGTTTTGAACAATGGCTGACTCTATGATGTCTGAAGCTGCTCCCGCGATTGACCCTTCTCCCGTCAAGGCTCGCCCTTTCGGCAGGACGAAATCCGTCAGTGAGCTTCTTGGTGGTGGGAAAGGTGCGTGAGGGGTTCTCAAATTGGTTTAGTTCAGCTCCACCACAACATATTTAGGGTTGTAACGTGCACTTGTTTCCGATTGCAGTTGCCGACATTTTGCTCTGGAAGGAATGGAAGGCGAGCTCTGCTATCTTGCTGTCCGTCATCGCTCTCTGGTTCTTTTTCGAGCGATCGGGGATGACCCTTCTCACGGTGGCCGCTGATGCCCTCATGATCGTCGTCACAACGTTCTTCTTGTGGGCTCAAGTGGCTTCTTTCTTAAACAAGTAAGCACCTCGTGTCGTAGGACATTCCTGCGTTTTTCTTGACTGAAGCGGGCTCATCACATCACAAATTCCGAATAAATTACGGCGTCTTTGTTACTCATCTCAGGTCTGGTCCCCCGCTCCCGGAACTCAAGGTTTCCGAGGACTCCATTAGCAAGTCGGCCATCTTTATCCGTGACGAAGTGAACACAATGCTGAAGCTTGCCCACAACGTCGCCCTCGGCAAGGACTACCTTCTTTTCGCCAAGGTAATCTTACGATCAGATTGTTGCTCGTATCCTACCATTCGTCGTGGCTTGTTCATCTCATTTGAATTTGGTTTGATTTTGCAGGTTCTCGCCGCTCTGTACGTGGTCGCAGTGGTGGGTGCATGGTTCCACTTCCTTACCCTCGTCTTGCTTGGTAAGCATCGAATTTCACTCGTCGCGTACTTATCAACCTGGTTTGCTATTGTCACTATTTCCCTCATGCTCCTTCTCCCCGTTTCTCTGACCCCCGTGCAGCTGTCGTCGGCGCCTTCTCTCTGCCCGCTCTGTATGACAAGTTTGAGGACCAGGTGGATGAGAACCTTGAGAAGGTTCTTGCAGAGATGGACAAGTTTTACAAGCTCGCTGAGGAGAAGATCCGGGGAGCTCTTAACAAGCCGAAGTCTAAGAAGACAGAGTAGGCTTGTTCATCCCCGCAGATCCATCAGTTTCTCTGGTGCGGTGTGCTGACCAGTGCAAATCGAGCTTGGATCATCCTGTTTTATGAGAGCCCGAATTCTGCTGTGAGCGAATAATGAAGTGGTCTGCCAGGGTGGAGAGGTTTGGTCTGGCCGTAGCTTGCGGCTAGTTTCCTGTGATTGTCACATTGTATGCTCTTGGCATAGCAGTGCTTGATTAGCAGAACCTTATGTGAAGTGAACCAAGTACCATACGCACCCATTCCTTTGCAAGAGTGCCAAGCCTATCATTATGACAGTTTATTTATCATTATCTCGCTTACACTTCAAGCGTTCTTGAACACAACTTATTTAGCGGATCGGAGAAATGCCATCCTCTGGAGATTGATTTTAGCGGAGCGGATCGGAGGAAAACAAACCCCCAACTATGCCAGCACTTATGATTCCCTCAAACCGCGACCTGCGCGTCAATGGCAGCAGCGCTTCTGGCGCCACCTGCCTCACGTAAAGGTATCCTCACCTGTTCGCGCGTGGTTTCTCTCCATCCATTGCTCATAAACTTCGTCCCATGATTTACTGCGGAGGACACGGTGTGACTTGAGGGTAGACTGCTGTTGTCACGGCAGCAAGAAAAAGTTGTTGCATGATCGCCTTGCCGGAAACGCGTTCCTCAGGTGTCACTCTCCTGGGTGTTGCGATGTTGCCTTTCAGTTGTCATCTTGTTCCGGTCAACTGGTGACGCACCCATTCTGAAACAGTCTAAATTCAAGGTAATTTTTGCCTCTGCACACTTTTGTATATCTCACCGTCTCCCATTCTCTCTTTCTGTGTGTTTCTTTATCCATCTCTGTGCGTTTCTCTCTCCCTGCCTCGTGTATTGGCCAGCCTTCTCCGTTCATCGCACCTCTTCCTTCACTCTGTGTTTTTCTCCCAATTCCTCTCCCCCTCCCCCCTCCCCCCTCCCACCCCCCTCCCCTTCCCCCCCTGGATTATGGCCTCTTCAGATTGCGGCGGGGGAGCGCTTTTCCAAGGTTATCGAGTTTCTCAGGCGACAACTGCATCGTGATACCCTGGTGTGTATGCGCATGCACAGGGGAAGGTTGGATGTGGGGGAGATGGGGGGGGGGGGAAGAGATGGGAAAGGGTTAAGTTGGGATGCGAGGTTGAATGGTGCATGTGTTTGGATGCACAGCCTCGCTCTCTCCACTATGTGTCCATCAAATTCTCCTGCCTCGTTTTGTATTTCCCTCTTTCCAATGCTGTTGTTACATCAAAAGCGTACCATGGCGCATGTCTCTTCCTTTAACTTTCTTGCCGACCACCAACTCGCACCTCTTGTTTCCGCCCCGTGCAGTTTTTGTACGTCAACAGCGCGTTCTCTCCATCGCCAGATGACCTCATTGCTGACCTTGCTGACGTGAGCATTGCACCATGGCACATGGAATGGCGTGAACCATGTTTGAATGAATGATCGGGACAAGGTACACCCAGCCCTGCTCTCCACTACACCCGGTCGTTGGCTCGCCACCATATATTTACAGCAGTTCCTCGACCCATTACATGGTTTTACTCTCGTGCATGCGTTTAATTGCTTTATGTGAAGTATCTTCTCAAACCCCACGAACTCCACGTTTCCTTCTCACCCCCATGACCCTACCCTGCTAACCTGCACATCTTTGTCCTTCACTACAGGCATTTGCGGTCGATGGAAAGTTGATAGTTAACTATGCATGCACACATGCATGGGGCTAGCATGCCTCAAAGAAGAATATGGCAGCCCACACATAAAGCATTTCCTTATACCATCCGTTTCCGCCCCATGTAGTATAGCCTGTTGCTGGCCCGCGACAGGGCCTAGTTGCAACAGGATGGGCCCCGGCATATGCATAGTACTCTAGGAATGTTTAGGTGTACCATATGTTAGCCTCCAAATGCAACTCATCTTAGGCCTTAAGCCATAACCGTGGTGCCTTCTTGGTAAGGCCATAGGTTTTGTGTTGTGCAATCCACCTCATTTTGAAAAAGGACCATGCATTTGGGTTCTATATGATGAGAATCAATGTATATTTTCATAACTAATTTTTTCCTTTGAAGTGTTAGTGGTAGACTTGGGTAGAAGACTTGACGTGTCATTCACTTTCAACGAATCCTTTTCACCCGCGTGGCACATATTTCGTGGCCGTTGCCTTCCACCTCTCCTGAAACCTGGGCTCCATGCATCGAGCTCCCCTAGTGCGGTGGCATTCTGAAGCTGAACCAGTAAGCCGTCAAGGTCCATTTCGCCCCATCCATCTCGGATTACCCGCACGGAGATATTTTGCTAAGGGATCTGCCAATAGCATTTCGGCTCGCCAGACCTGCTTCAAAGCTGTTTTTCGTCTGGACGTCGTTGCGTTTCGTCAGCGTTGTTCCGACTTCGCAGCAGCCATCCGATCCACAGACGATCACTGAACTTGCTGCGCGAAACCTAGAGATTTTCGAATCATTCCGTCCATCCATTTCTGTGCCAATCAGCGGAGCTGAGCTGACTCCCAGACTGCCCGTTAGATCAAACCAGCCAATCGCAGTACTGTACGCGGAGAGGGAGGAGAGGGCACCTCCCCCAGTTTCCTTGTACAAGCTCTACTCACTGTATTCTTTCCCCCCAGCGCGCTTGCGCCATCCCTTTCCCTCCCCCAACCTCCCTCCCCCCCAAGGGATTCCCAATCCCAAGGTGCCCACCGTCCTCCCACTATTCCCATCACCAGCCTGCCCCCTCCCTCCCCCCAGACTCCCGCAGTAGCTCAGCTAGGGTTTGTAACCTTACTGGTGCTATCAACAGTTCCCTCGAGGGCTCCTCTGTTGCATCGATCTTGGGCTTGGCTCTATTCTGTTTCCCCTCTTGTGACTCGTACAGCAATCGCCTGACGTCCTCACCTCACTCCCACCTGATCTTGTTCAGGATGGCAAGGTTGTCTCAGTGCTCTCCCACATTGCTAGCCTAACCAGCTGGTTCGAGGGTAGAACTAGTGACCTTATTCTAGCCTCTTGGTTGGGCTTGGCTTGTGCTTGTTTGTAAATTGTTGTGACCAATCAGCCAAGTCGTAGATTCCGAGGGCCTTAATCGCGACGCGTCACTGACGAATGGCCTCGTTTGGAGTTCCCACTCGCTCGACGTCAGTTGTAAGCCCCGGCGACCGTTCCTTCTTTCGGAAGTCGTGTGTGCATTGCGTGAGACGATACCACGATGCCTTCTGATGGGAAATTCTTACCATCGGACCCGCACGGTTCTCGTCCCTTTCCTACCCGTTGCATCTTTAAAGTTGTAATCGCTTCCTCAAACTAAACCCCCCCCCCATTCTGCGTAATTTCGCTGTGTTCACTTTCTCCCCCCCCCCCACTCTCCCTCCTTCATCTCTCCCGCTCTCTCTTCCTCGCCCCGCCTCTCTCCCGTCCCTCGTTCCCGTTTCCCGCGCTTTCTACTGCAGACTTCTACATCGGGAGCGTCAGCCGGGCTGCTGTCCATCTCATCGTCACCAATCTCCTCCCTCCACCGTAGCTCAGCAGCAACCGTTCCTCCATCCCTTCCCAGATGGTCTCACTCCTCCATCTTCATGGGTCGCCCTGTCCAGATCGGCAGCGCGCCCGCCGGCGGGAGCAGCAGCGGGGGAAGCGGGGGCTATTCCCGCCATTACCCGCCCAATCGCGGGCCGCTGGTGGATCTGGCGCGCGCCGTGTTGAATAAATCCAGCAGCAGCGGGAGCGGGAGCAGCAGCGGCAGCGGCAGCAACAACGGCCCTGGCGGAAGCAACAGCAACGACGGGGGCGTTGGCGGGGCTAGCAGCAACACCAACGGCAACGCGGGGAACAGCGGGGGGATTGGGAAATTCGGGAAGCCGGGGAACGGCAGCGCGGGGAACTGGGCGTCGCTGCCCGCAGCTCACTCCCGCGCCCAGCCGCAGCACAACGAGCCGTCGAAGCCGCAATGGCAGAGCGTGGGGGAGGCCACCCGCGCAGTTCTAGAGCGCCTATTCGCGCAGGCGCAGCGGTACGAGGAGCGGACGGATAGCCCTGCGTTTTCGGAGGAGACAGAATTGGAGGAGGCGGTAGGGCAGCTCGAGGCGGACGTAGTAGACGTGCTCGAGTCGCTAAGGCGCAAGGAGAAGGACCTGATTAAGGCGGAGGAGAGTCTACGAGAGGAGGAGCGCGAGGTGCAGGTTTCGCGCTCCGCGCTCATCCAGCGCGAGCGGGAGTTCGAGGCCGTGCGCATGGCGCAAGCGGGGAAGCGCAGCGAGCTCGCCCACGCGCGCGGGCAGCTGGGGACCCAGCGGGAGGAGCTCGAGCGGACGGTCGGGCTGCTGCGGGAGCGGGAGAAGGAGCTCGCGCGCGTGCGCCTGCAGCTCGGGGAGAAGGAGGACGAGGTGCGGAGAGTGCGCGCGGAAGCCGCCAGGCAGGGGGAAGCCATGGACAGCGTCGGCGCGGCGCTCGCCGCGAACCAGGTGGAGCTAGCGGAGGTAGAGGCGGAGGCGGAGAAGCGGCGCAAGGAGGTAGCGTCGCTGCGCGAGCTGTTGAAGCAGCAGCGGGACGAGCTTGCGGCGGTGGATGCGGACCTTGAGGGGAAGAAGCGCAGGCTTTCCGCCACGGAGGAGGACCTCTCCACCCGCGCGGTAGCGCTCCACGCGGCGCAAGGGGAACTGCAGCTCTTGCGCCAGCAGCTGCGCCGAGTCACCTCCGCGGGATCGTCCGCGTCCCTGGAGCTCGACCGCGCAACGGTTCTCCTGCGCGACGCAGAGGCGGAACTCGCGGCGTCCCGGGCAGCGGTGCGCCGGTTCCGCGACGAGGTGGCGGACCAGGAGACGGAGTTAGAGGCGAAGGAGGAGGAGGCGGGGCGGCTCGTGTCGCTCCTTAAAAAGCGGGAGGACGAGCTTGCGCGGGTGCAGAAAGAGGCGGCCAAGGACCGCGCGGAGCTGCACGCTGCGCGCGCGGCTTTCGCCGCCGCGGAGTCGAAGCTGGCGGAGCAATCTCGCGCGGTGACGGTGCTGGAAGGAGAACTCCTGGCGGAGCGCAAGCGCGCGGAAGAAGCCTCCGCGGAGATCTCCGCGCTGCGCAAGGAGGTCCGCCAGACGAGTGCGGCGCTCTCCGACGCGCAGCTGGCGCTGCAACTCCGTGAGGCGGAGCTGCTCACCGCGCGGCTGGAGCTCCAAGCCGCGCAATCCGACCTCGCGGCGGCGCAGGCCGACGCGCGCGCGAAGACGCAGGAGCTGGAAGAATCCGGCCGCGCGGTCGCAACTCTACGGCGCGAGCTGCTGCTCTCGCGGAAGGTCCTGGCGGAGCGGGAAGCGGAGGTCACGGCGGTGGCGGAAAAGCTCAAAGAGCGCGAGGAGGCGCTGGAGATAGTCGGCTCGGACCTGCAGAAATCGCGGATTAAGCTGAGCGAGGCGGAGACGGTGGTGGAGCAGATCGCGGGGCTGTCGCGGCTGCTGGTGGAGACGGCAGCGGGCGGGCTGAACGCGCCCGTGGTGACGGAGGGGTCGGTGCTTGCGCAGGCCAACTATGAGTTGTTTGCGACGAACCGGTGCCTGCTGGAGCGAGAGGTGCAGCTGCAGGAGATGCAGGTGAGAGGAAAGGAGGCGAGGGAGGGTGAGAGGAAAGGAGGCGAGGGAGGGAGTGTGAGTGGGTGGGGAACAGGAAGGGCAGCGGTGTGTAATGAGTCGATTTTTGAGTCGACTCAAATATCGACGCGTGAGGAGTCTATTTTTGAGGCGCCTCAAAAATCGACTCATTACACACGAAATGGCAGCGGGGGCGGGGGCGGGGGCGGGTCTGGGGCCGGGGATGGGTGGGTGAGGGAGGGGGAGGGCGGCTTGTTTGAGAGAGTTCGGAAGTCTTCCAATCGTTGGTGCTTAACCCGTCAACCTTGTGATTCCTTGAAGGCCCTGCCCTTGTTTCGAACCTTGTGCCTTCCCAGCCTCTCCTAGCCTCTCCCCTCGTACTTCTACTTCCATAATCGACCTGGCCCTTGCTTTCCTTCGCCTCTCCCGACCCCTCTCTTCTTCCTTCCCGCCCATCCCTAGTGCAAGTCTCCTTCCCCCTTCCCCCTTCTCAAATCTCCCCTTCCCTTGCTCGCTCCCCCACTCCCCTACTCTTGCACCCCTTTACCCGCTCCCCGTCTCCCCCTCTCTCCCCGCCTCTCTCGCCCCGCTCGCAGGACAAGGAGGCGCGCGAGGCGATGGCGGGGCAGCGCCTGCTGGCGGAGCTTGACGCGGTGCGCGAGTGTCTGCGCGAGAAGGAAGTGGAGCTGGAGGTGGCGCGCCTGGCGCTGGCGGACCGCGATTTGGCGCTCTCCGCGCTGCAGCAGCGCTGGGCCCAGCGCGAGGCGCAGCTGCAGCGCGTGCAGGGGGAGCTGGTGGAGGGCGCGCAGGAGATCGCCGCGCTGAGGGAGTACGCGCGCGCCAACGGGCTCGTCTCCGCCGCCGCGGAGGCGGCTGCGGCGGCGGCGCAGGCGGGCGCGCCCAAGGCGTTCAAGGAGGAAGCTGCCGTGACGAAACTAGAGCTGGAGGTGAGAGATTGGGGGGGGTAGAGGGGGAAGAGGGGGGGGGGGGGAGGGGGGGGTTCAAGGGGGGGGAGGGTGGGGGGAGGGGTAGAAAAGGGGGAAGAGGGGTAGAGTGCGGAGGAGGGTTGGGTGGTGTGAAGGGTTTGGTGGATGAGAGTGTTGTCTGGGGGGATGAATGCATTGTCTATGGGAGGGATGCCCATTCCTGGGTATGACTTTCCTTATCCCTCTCCTGTCTGTCTCTGTACCCGACAAGCGTTTCTTGCCCTCCTCCTCTTGACTCTCGTCTGCCCCCCTTGTTCCTTGTGGCCCAACTGCCCATCGTCCGTCCTCCAGTCCCCTTATCCCTTCAATCCCTGCAATCCCTCTGTTCCCCACGCTCCCCCTTGCGCTGCCAGGTGGCGAAGGTGGAGGTGGAGACGGCAGTGGCGGCTCTTAAAGCCCTGGCGGATCTCAGCACGGAGCTCACCACTGGCTGTGGGGACGTAGCCACCGCAGCAGCAGGCGTTTCATTCACAGGAGCGGCGAACGGCGCTGCTGATGCTGCTGCTGCCGCGTCCGTTCGAGCTGCGCTTCTGCCCTCTGCACAGACACGAGCCCACTCATCTGCAGCACCACCTGCAGCAGCAGCAGCAGCACAATCAGGGCCTGCAACATCAACGTCTACAAACGGCGCAGCAGCAGCAGCAGCAGCAGCAGCAGCAGGACAAGGTGGGGGAGCAGCAGGTGAAAAAGCAGCAGCAGCAGCAGCGGCAGCAGCAGTGGTGCCAACGGTGGCGCCAGCAGCATTGGATGACATGGAGCGGCAGCTGAGGGACAAGGACGCGGCCCTGGACCTCGCTCGCTCCGCCATGCTGTCGCTCACACGCCTCACCCGCCGCCTTGTGCACGATGCTGCCTCCGTGGCTGCTGACGCCGGCTGGCCCTGCGACGACGCCCCCTCCTCCTCCTCCTCCTCCTCGTCCTCCTCGTCCTCCTCGTCCCCCTCGTCCTCGCCCTCAGGCTCGGCTGACTCGGGGTTCAATCTGGATGGTGCTGCTGCGTGAGCCGGGACTGTGATGCAGTGACTCATGCGGGTTTAATGAAGCAATTTCAGAGTGACAGGCTCAGGCCTGGATGGGTGGGGCACTGGTGCCTGCCTGCCTGCAAGGGGTTCTACTGGAGGGTGCCTGAGCTGAAGTGACTTGACTTCCTCCTGTCCTGTCCCGTCCCGTCACGTCACTTGAGTTGTGTTGGCCCAGCTGCTGTGTGTGTTGTGCAGCATGGGATGGGATTAGGTGCATTGAGGGGTGCAGTTCAGTTTCGGTGGTTGGGAAGTTGGAGGGGAGTGGAGTGGAGGAGAGCTAGCAGTGTGTTGGGCTTGGTTGGAACTGGAAGAGGGGGCACAAATATACGACCGGTGAGATTTGATTAGCGTACCTGTAATACGCGGCGAAAACTGGAAATATGCGGTGATGTTTTTTTATTTCTTTCCTGCTTTGTCGGTATAGTCTAAGGGGGTGTTGCTGTAAGTGGTCTCCGCTGCTGGAGCAAAGCTTCTTATGGGGTGTAGTTGTGGATTTAAGTTGTAAGTTCCAGATTTGATGAAGAACGTAATGCCATTACAGTAAGCGATTTGGCAAGAGTTGCTGCATGCTTGATAACTAATTGCTTGCAATACATTGCAACTCTTCAGATATTACCATCCATACAATGGTATGCATGTGCATTTCACTAGTTCAATTTCTGACTCGTCAACTAATCCATCCAGATAAAACCATCTCCTACAGTAGTACGAAGAGACTAGCATGCATACGCAGGACAAGGGTTACTGCCGCCTTGCGTTACGTGCCAGCAGTGTGCTCATCGTGATATCCGCAGCGATGATGGGCAGACTGCTGGCAGGCACAATCATTACCGCCATGGCATGGATGCTGCCCTGCACTGCACTGCCCTGTGCCTCTTCCCCCCATGACACTTCCCTAATGGCCTGCTCCCATCCGGCGCACTCGCCCTGCACTGCTCGCACTGCTCACAGCTCATGCTGCTAGCTTCGACCTGCCCTTGGCTATGCGGCGAGCCAACACCTTCCGGCCACCTCGGCTCCTCTTGCTGCAAATGCAAGGGATGAAAGATGGGGGGGAGGACGAGGGGAGACAGTGGAGACAGTGGAGGCAAGGGAGGCAATGGAGGCAGTGGAGGCAAGGGAGGCAATGGAGGCAATGGAGGCAATGGAGGCAATGGAGGCAATGGAGGCAAATGAGAGGATAGAGACAACGGAGACAACGGAGGAATAACGAAGCCAAATGAGACGAGCCCAACAGCCAGTCAACAACACACAAGTCCATCAGATGAGTCTCGGCCAGCTGAACCAGCCGGCAGCCTTTAGAGCAAAATGACACAGGGCTCCTTCAAACAGCAATGGAGTCAGGCAAAGTTGTACTACGAGCGCAGAACAAGGTAGCACATGCACATGCAAATGCACGTGCACGTGTGCTCACTCACCGGGAGAGGAAGCCGTGCTTGCGCTTGCGGCGGATGGTGCTGGGCTGGTAGGTGCGCTTGGTGTGCGCCAAGAGAGGTGCTGGCGTGGACGGGCCTGAGAATGGGTCCATGTCCCTGCTCGCGGCGAGCAGGCATGCACATGCACATGCACATGCACGCACATGCACATGCGCACATGCACACATCATTCGCACATGCACATGCACATGTGCACACGCACACACCATTCGCACATGCGCACACACCGTCGCACACGCGGTCACTCACACGCACACCAAGACACAGATAGACAGAGGGCATTGCGGTGGGGAGCATAACGCTGATCAACTTCACACAACAAGGATGGAGAATACCACGGCTCAACTCCCCAGTCCAAGCTAGCCATAAAGACTAATAAGAAAAACCCCCCACACGCAAACGACAAAAAAAAGGCCGAAGCAGCAGGTGCACCCAGCTCACGTGGTGACAGTGGTGGAGGGCGTTTGAATGGTGGCAGCGGCGGGAAGAGAGGGCTCTGCGATTTCGTGCTGTGGTAACTCCCCCCCGCCCTCCCTCTCTGTGTCTGCCTGCCCATCGGAGTTGCTGTATGGCCTCTGCACGTCCAGGTCCACTGCATGACCCAGGGCTGGTGGGGAAGAGGCAGTAGAGAGACGACATGTGGAGGGGAAACATGGGGAGACGAGAGATGCGTGATTCGGAGGTGCCTGAAAGTAGGTTGTATGGCCTCTGCACGCCCAGGTCAACTGCATGGCCCAGGGCTGGTGGGGAAGAGGCAGTAGAGAGACGACATGTGGAGGGGAAACATCGGGAGAGGAGAGATGCGTGATTCGGAGGTGCCTGAAAGTAGGTTGTATGGCCTCTGCGCGCCCAGGTCCACTGCATGGCCCAGGGCTGGTGGGAAAGATGTGGAGGCAAGAGATGTGGAGGCAAGAGATGTGGACGCAAGAGAAGCGGCGGCAAGAGATGTGGAGGCAAGAGAAGTGGCGGCAAGAGATGTGGAGGCAAAAGATGTGGAGGCAAGAGATGTGGAGGCAAGAGAAGAGGCAGCAAGAGATGTGGAGGCAAGAGATGTGGAGGCAAGAGATGTGGAGGCAAGAGATGTGGAGGCAAGAGGGAAGGAACGTGGAGGAGGCCAGGAGGGAAGGGGAAGGAAAAGGAGGGGCGGTAGGGAAAGAAAAGAAAGCACGCTAGACAATGGATTATGGAACATGATGGGGGGCTCTAAGGGGCCCGCACAAAATAAGTCCCATTGTCGGACGCACACACCGTAGCGAGGACACGAGGACAGGAGGACAGGAGGACAGGGGAGGTGGAATGGGTAGGGTATATTGGAGGCACAGTGATTAGGAAAGGGGACGCACTCAATCACACACACATGCACACATGCACACATGCACACATGCACACATGCACACATGCATGCATGCATCCCATCCCCCCTTTTCGTCCCATACACATCCCGCCCCTCCCCTCCTTTTCCTCCCCAGTAGCACCCGCATCCACCACCATCTCCCAATCCACACACAGCCACCCGCACACACAGCCACCCACACACGGCCGCCCACGCCCAGCCACCCACGCCCAGCCGCCACGCACACGAGAACATGAGGTCGGGGTGGCCGGCGGGCGCGATGAGGGCGAGCGCGAGCTCCTGGTTGCTGCTGCCGTCCATGCGGCCGTCGCCCAGGCTCAGCTGCCACAGCAGCCGCAGCGCCTGGAACTCCAGGTGCTCGTCGAGCGGCAGCCGCTCCCCCTGCAGGGACAGCGATGCCATCCATAGGTCACTCCGCTCCTGCTGCTCCGAGTCCACTCCGCCCCCCCACTCCCCCTCCTCCCTCCCTCCATCCCCCCCGCCTCCCCCGCTCCCCGCGCGCCTCTTCCCCTGCCGCGCTTTCCCCATCAGGAGTTCGGGGGGCGGGTACCAGTACCCCGCGCCAGGCACCAGTGGCAGCCAGTCGGGAGCCTGCTCGCGCGCGTACCTGGCGCTGGCGGCGCTGGCGGCGCTGGCGGCGACCGCGAGGTCGAGATCTTCGTCCGCCGCCAGCGCCATCATCTCCTCCTCCTCCCCCTGCCCGCCCCCCCACCACGACGCGGACGACGCGAACCCGCGCGCGGAGCCGCAGTTGCCGCCGCTGGACGCGGCGGGAGGCGATCCCGCCGAACTGCCGCCGCCGCCGTTGCCGGCGGCTGCGGCGCCGCCGGAGGCGGTGGACGCCGCCGCGGTGACGGCACTGGAGAAGGCGGGGAGCGGAGCGCGCGGGGAGGAGGAGAGGTGGGAGGAGGCGGAGTGGAAGGGGCGGCGGCGGGAGGCGGAGAAGGTGGAGGGCACGGGGATGGGGACGCGGGGGGTGGACGTCGAGGGGGAGGGGTGGGCGGAGAGAGAGGAGAGGGGAAATGACGGGGGACGAGTGGTGCCGGACTGGTTAGGTGACGGAGAAGAGGTGGATACGGAGTCAGCGGACGGGGAGAGAGAGGAAGGGGTCAAGGAAGGGAGGCACGAGGTGGGAGGTTGAGCGAGAAACGCGGCGGAGATTCCGGAAAGAGGGCGATTGGCTGGAATCACAGAGTGAGGGGTGAGAGCGGCGGCAGCAGAGGTGGTGGTGGTGGTGAGAGTAGCGAGAGGATAACCGGCGGTGGGAGCTGGTGAATCGTGGTGGGATGGAGTAAGGGGTTGGGCCAACACGCTGCTGCTGATGGTCGTGCTGCTGCTGCTGCTGGCGCTGGCGTTTATGGTCGTGCTGGTGCCACTGCTAGCTCGGCTGCAGGTGGACACGCCGCGCGATAACAGCGACTCCGCATGGGCTCGCGTCGACGTGGCTGTGGTGGTAACGGCCGTGCCGGTGGTGGCGGCGAGGGTGGGGATCGCGGCGGGTGAGTTGGCGAGGGATTTGAGGGTGGATGTGGAGCGACGGGAGAGGAACCGCGCGGCCATGGCGAGGTTAGTGATAAGGCTAGTGATACCGCTGATGATCGAGTTATACTGCTGATGATGCTAGTGATACTGCTGATGATGCTGTTGATTCCGCTAATGATGCTAGTGATACTGATCAATGTTGTCCCCACGAATGTTCAGATCCAAGGGATGTGGTGGTCAAGGGAGTAAACAGCAGGGAACGGGAGACGGGCGATAGGTTCGCGAAGATTTGACTAATGCGTAAGCTAGGTCATGGATGGAGGGTTGCGATTTACCCAGAATGGCATGGACGATTCAACGAGCTGATCGTGAGCAATACGCGAACGTGGCGGAGAGAGGAAACGGCGGGGTTCCGGATAGCGGGAAATGGGCCGATATACGCCTGGCCAAATGGGCGAGAGTGAGCGGAATGGGAAAGCCTAACCACGCTCCAAACACGGCAGCGGGTTAGGGGTAAGGTGTCGAAGGAGTGGTGTGTGGAATGGCGGCCATTCCAGCTCAGATAGGCAGAAAAGGTTGTAGTGGAGGGCGGAAGAAACGGATGGGGAAGAAAGGCTTGAAAGTGCCGAGTGTTTGGACGTGTGAAATTATGAAAATCGTGTTTTTTGGTGAGCATACTGTACTGAGAATGGAGCATCTTGTAGCGCGTCACGTTTGTGTCCATTGCCTTCTTCGCATTGTTTTCGCGCTTTGTTTCGTCACCTTCTCGCTTGAGCTTCTTCCCTTCGTCCGCCAGGGTGGAAAGCAGTCACCAATGTTGCCGAACTCCACAAATCACGTGGTTACTAATCCAAACCCTACGGGATGGAACCGTGTTACCCCAGAGCGAAACAGACCACATACCCCTGATAGAGCCTCCTGGAGGTTCCTCTCCCTTCCCCCCTCCACTCTCCTCTCCACCACCCCTTCAAACTGCTGCTCACCAAACAATTCGCCCAGTTTCTGCCTCTGTTCTTCTCGACTGCATTTACAGCAGCATTGCCTTGTCCCACCAGCATTGCCTTGTCCTTCTGCTGTGCCCCACTGAACAGTCCAGATATTTTCTAGATTCAGGCCTTGTCTCTGCGCTTTCAGATTTCACGAGCGGTTTGCTTCTGCTTTGCGCTTGCTTATTCATTTCTATACTTCTGGGATCGTTTCAACTTTGGTATACATAGATAGACTGCAGGTGACGAATTGGAAAGCCTCTTGCTTTCCCTTTCCACTTCAGAGTGATCTTGACGGTAGAAAGGAGCAGCAGATTCTATTAACTGCCGAGCGCGGATGGCAGAAACCGCAACCGAGCTGAACGGAAGGTAAGCTGAACCGCAAATAAGTAGCGGATCTGGCGAAGTCATTGATGTGCTGAGAAACATGTTCTGACCATCCGGAGGGATTAATAGGGTGGGGAGTTGATAGAATAGGCGGCCTGTACTTGCTAAGATCTTGCGGTGTGTGTGCAACAAGGTCCGCCTATGAATCCAACCAAGGATTCGACGCCTGAGTGTGCAGTGTCGACGGCACTGCACACCCTGACTGGATAGAGCTGGATCAATACCCTGATAGTTCAGGGATTTCCAGACTGGATAGAGCTGGAGGATTCATAACTGCTGCTAAGGTTGAATTGAGTTAATATCCCGTTCCCCCTGTATGACCCTCATGCCTGCTCTCTCTATTTCCTACCGTCCTATCGTCTCCCAATCGTTGTTGTTGTTGTTGTTGTTTTTTTTTTTTTTTTTTTTTTTTTTTTTTTTAATCAGGCCTTCAGCCCGTGGCGACAAGAGAAGACGAGACCAAGACCGATCCAGATCGCGCGACAGGGGATACGATCGCACCGCCGACCGCGATCTGGACAGATACCGCGATCGCGACGCGTCCAGGCGACAACGCTCTCGATCTAAGAGCCCTGACCGTGGGTTGCGGACGCGGCACCGGTCGCGAGACAGAAGCAGAGAGCGAAGCCGCGATAGAGGCAGGGACAGGAGCAGGGAGAGAGGGGGGGAGGCGCGGAGCAGGGACAGGAGCAGAGAGAGAGGGCGACATGCGTCAGCGGATCGGCACGAGAGGGAGCGAGACTCGAAGCACCGCAGCCGGCGGGACGAGCATGGGCGAGTAAGAGACGACGACCGGCATCGGCGGAGTGACGACAGGGAGCGGAGCGAGAGGAGCCGGGATAAGGACAAGCAGTCGGAGCACCGGCGATCGGAGCAACGGTTCGTCGCCTCCTCCCCCGTCTCCGCTCCCCCGCGCGCTGTCCGCTCGCGGTTTTGCCTCTTGCGTTTCTTCCCCCCTCTGTCCTCACCAAAGCATTTCTCTCTTTGGCCACTATCCCTTGTTTTCCAGTTTTTAGTTTTTCTTTTTCTTCTTCTTACGTGCATGTATCTGCTATCTCGTGCGTGTTATGTGTTTCCCATGGCGGCTGATGGGCAGGTCAGAGGAGGAGGAGGATGACGTGGAGCTAGATGCGGATATAGAGATTAAGATAGGCGAGGAGGAGAACGAGGTGGATAAGGTGCTGGAGGAGAGTCGCCGGCGTCGCCAGGCGATTCTTGACAAGTTCAAGTCGCAGAAAGCTGATGCGAAGCAAGCAGGTGTGTGGGTGCTTGGGGTGGGAATGGGAGGGGGAACACGCGCTTTCGAGCGCGGGTGCTTTTGGTGCGTGTGTAAGTTGTTCTGGAAAACTGAGCGGTTTGATTAGAAAGAGCTTGTGTGAAGAAATCCTTTGTTTCTGGACAGAAGTCACAGCTGTTTCTCTCTCGCTCTCTGGTGTTCGCAGATGGCTCTGCGGCTCCAAGCTCCAAGGATGGCTCACTTCCTTCCAAGGGCGACCAGAGGTTTGGCTTGGCCAATGGCGCACTTTCCACGGCCTTGCATTCTTCCACCACCCCCGCTGATGCTGATGCTGTTGCTGCCACTGGTAATGGCACTGTCCCTACTGCTGCCTCTCTTGGCCAGACAGATGCAGATGCGCTCAAGACCGCCAACTTGCCCGCCGCCAGCTCCCCTGTGTTCTCTGGCGATGTCTCCAAGCCTTTCACCGCTGCCGCCGCGTCGTCACCTCCTAAGGTCAGTCGCATGACGTCTGGTCAGCGTGGAGCGTCAGTTCGGCCTTTTCCTTCCTATCTCATGAAGAACATTTTGGAAAGGTGCAGAGGGGCGTGCTGTGCTCTTCCCCCCTCCCCTCCCCCCCTCGTCTGCGTCTTCTGGTTGTTCTTCTTGTCCTGCAGACTGGAAGTATTTATTTATACGTCTGTTGACCCTTTCATTACTCTTTCGTTTCTGCTCTCCCCGTGTGTGATGGCAGGGTGAAAGCGCCACTGACATGTTTGCTGATGACATGTTCGGTGAATCTCCCGCGGCTGGAAGGAAACTGGTAAGGTTTCCTAAGTTCTTTCCCACCCCCCTTCCATCCCCCTTCTTTCCCTCCCCCCTTTCCATCCCCCTTCTTTCCCTCCCCCCTTCCATCCCCCGTCCCTTCCACCCCTGCTTCCACTGGTTCCTTACCCCAACCCCATCGCTGTCGCGTCTGCCCCCCCTTGACGCATCAAGCCACCCCTTGGTTGATTTCTGATGTAATCTTCCTGCACGTGTGTCCGCATCGCATGTGTGTGTGGACGCCCGGTCTCTCATTCATTCCTACGCTTCACCCGTGTTACCAAGTCTGTCCTCTACTTGATTTCCCCAGCTCCTTGCGGCTTCCCTGTGGCGCATAGCAAAGGCTGCTGCCCTGCCGCTGCTGCTGCCTCTTCTTCCCTTGTCCCTGGCCACTACCGTTCCTGGCTCACGCTCCATAATATTCGCGCATGGCCGTTATGGTACAGGAATGGTTGCCATGCCTGCTCTGTCACGTTGTTAGCGTGCACCACCTCTTCATCCGTCTACATCTTCCTCCCGTTTCCTCTTTTTTCCGCCCCCTCCCCTCCCCACCGCCTCCCCGCTTTCGCTTCTTTCTCTCTCTCACTCTTCCCCCGTTTCTTCTTTCCCCCCCCCCCCGCTCCTCCTGTCTTCACTCTCTACTTTCCTCCACCATATACCCGTACTCTCCTTCTCCATTGCATCTTTCTTATATATTCTTACTTGCATAACTGTTTTCATGAATGCCGTTATTGCTGCTCACTTTGGCGAATATGCTGGCGAGTATTATCTCGTTATTATCCGCTGACCGAGACTGGGTGCCTTCCCTCCCTCCCTCTGCTGGTTGATACCCCTGCATGCAACCAGGGGAAGTTCGACGGTGCAGCCAAGGAGTTTGGCCTGAACGACAACTGGGACGATGTGGAAGGCTACTACTGTAAGTCTACACTGGAGTCTCCAGTCTCACAGAGTCACTGTGAAGCACTTCAGCAAGAAGGATGCACTGTCACGCCTAAGCAACGTCCTGTGTGATATCCGAATGAGTTGTTTTTCCTCCTCTTCTTCCTAACTTTCTCGCTCCGACCCCGTTCCTTCTCCCGCGCTCTTGTGTATCCCCTCTCGGCAGTGTCGCGAGTGGGCGAGGTGTTGGACGGGCGGTATGAGATAGCGGCAACGCAGGGCAGGGGGGTGTTCTCCACGGTGCTCAAGGCGTGGGATCTCAAGGAGGCCCGCAGGGAGGTCGCCATCAAGATCATCCGCAACAACGAGACCATGTGAGCACCACCTCCCCGCCCGTGCCATGCCATGGCCACCTACGTTTCAGCACGCACTTCATTTGTGCCTGCCTCTTTTAGGTTGCTTTGTTGTCCTTCTTTTGGTTGTTGTTTTTACCTGTTCCGATTGTGGTGTCATGGGCTGGGCTGTATGTTCACAACAGAAGATTCAGGTGCATGGCGCGTGCCTTAGCTTAGTGGGGATGTTACAGCTCTGGCACAGAGCGTGTGGCCCAGCTTGTTGCTTTTGGGTTCGAGCTCCGAGCTTTAGTCGGTGTTGTGGGAGATCCTGCTAGGAACTCCCTATTTTTCAATTCGTAATGGAGGGCCTGTTGTGCTGAATCTGCAACAGCACATACAGCCCAGTAGCCCAGAGAATCACCCCCTTTTTTTCCCTCGCCCCTCCCTCCCCCCCCCCCCAATTTCCCTCTCCCCGCTCTCGCCCTTCCGTAATCTCTCTCTCTGCTCTCTCGCCCCTCCTTTGTACCCTCTGCTCTCTCTCCCCTCCTTTCTCCCCCCTGCTCGCTCTCCCCGCCCCCAGGTTCAAGGCGGGGCAGCAGGAGCTGGTGATTCTGCGGAAGCTAGCGGGAGCAGACCCGGACGACCGGCGGCACTGCATCCGGCTGATCTCGTCGTTCCAGTACCGCGGGCACCTGTGCCTCGTGTTTGAGAACATGCACATGAACCTGCGGGAGGTGCTCAAGAAGTTTGGCCGCAACATCGGGATCAACCTGAGCGCCGTGCGCGCGTACGCCACGCAGCTGTTCCTGGCGCTGAAGCACCTGCGCAACTGCGGGATCCTGCACTGCGACATCAAGCCTGATAACATGCTCGTGAGTGGCGTTGGGGTGGTTGCGTCGGTGGTGGTGGTATGCGCTTTATATTATTGCGTGCTGTGCATTGCAGTGGTTGCACTGTACCTTGTCTCCTTCCCCTCCACCTCCCCCCCTCCCCCCCCAACCACCTTTCCCCCTTCCCTAGCTCTCATCGACCCTTGGCCATTTAAGTGGATAGGTTTGGATGGGAATTCTTCGGAACAAGTCATTGCTCGTTGCGGCTCACCTTCCACCTGGTGATGCTGATGTGTTGCGTGCCATTGTGCTGGCGGTGCAGGTGAACGAAAGCAAGAATGTGCTCAAGCTCGCT